GAAGTTTGGGTCTTCGCTTATCCCTGTCCCCAGGCAGGACCAAGGAAGAACGTGTCCTCCCGCTGGGCACCTGGCCATTCTGGGAAACCAGCAGCCCGTGGGGAGGTCGAGGGGGCCGAAGCTCAGCCGGGCCTGCCAAGCCCAGTGCCTTGGCCTGCTGCTCCTCCAAGCTCCCTGGCAAGGCTTCGGCCTTATCTACCTGGGCGCTGCTCTTGGATAACCCATGCAATCTTTCCCACAGGAGCTTGGCGAACACCTCCGAGCTTATCTGCCATCACCTTTCCCCTTCTTAGCAGGAGTTTCCTCCCTCCCTGGAGATAAGCCCAAGAAGATGGGATCTGATGGGAGGAGGCCGAAGCCAGCCTGGGAGCCGCTTTTCTGACTCACGCGTTTCATGAAATAAAGCAGCAGCCAAGCAGTAGCAGCTCCCTTCGTCGGAGGGAAGGGACTCTTTTGCTAAGCTGCCGTCTTTAAACGGATCAGCCCTGATATAATTGAAGGCCGTTGCGGGAGAAATCGGCTCCCTCGTGCAAACCTGTAGGATTAGCCAACGGCCTTAGCAGAAAAAAAATAAGAAGTGCACGGAAGTTTTAAAAAGTAGGAATTAATGGAGGACCATCCCTGGAGCATTCATTCATTCATTCACTCACTCACTCACTCAAGTCAAGTCTTTATTCTCCTCAAAGATCAGAACAGCCCTGGAGCTGAGTCAAGGCATAATCAAGAACGGATTCATCACCGGAAATGTGTTTTTTGTGGGCAAGTCCCTTTTCATCACTTTTGATAGGGCTTGTGACGATGAAACACATCTCACGCAGGATGAGGAAGAAAGAAAGAAAAACAGCCAGGCAGATTTCTGTAACTTGCCCTTTTAGCTGTTTCAGAAAAATCCGCCGTGTTTATTGCTTTGAGTTCAGAAGGGATAATTGTCTTGGATAACACGGGTTCAAATGTACTTCCATATTTTCAAACGCAGGTGAAGAGCTGATTCAGTTTGATTCAGCATAAGCAACATCAAACAACTTTTCCCGCCAACGGTCTTATTTTTCGAAAAAGTTTTCATACCGCCTTCATTTTACAAGGCGAGATAAGTCAAATCTGGGGGGGGGTTACAACCAGTGTTTAATTCTTAAATATACACACTGCCTAATACGCAACAGATTGCATTATAAATGCAATGCAGACACCCAAAAAGAAAAACCAGGGAGTCCCTCCTCCGGATACAGGTCAGGAAATTCTAACTTTGCCGAAATTTCTTCCCGTATCGAAAAGGATTTATTTTTATTGGTCTCTGCCGGTGTAACATTCGAATCTCGTTACAGCGGATTCAGACATTCTTCCGAGATTGCTTTTAAGGACATTTTTATTAAGATGCTTATCGAGGAAAAACAAGGGCTTGTTGGTTTTGTCACGCTTTCCCCTTCAGCGGGGAAGAGCCTTCCCCTCTCTCCAGCTGCACCCAATTTGGAGCAGGCCCCGCTTCAACTGGACTTTATTAATCGGTCAAAATCAAAGCACCACCTTGGGGGAAAAGCAATTATTTCCAGCTCAATGATTATTAACAAGTTAGTTCCTCAACACCGTGGCAAGGAATGCCCAGCTGCTTGATAAACACTCAACCAATTAAGAGAATTGGGGAATTGCAACACACGGACTCCCTTTCTGGCGGCAGATGAAGCCCCCGAAGGACAGTGCCAAGGACTGGCTTTGAGGAAGAACTTTTCAAAAGCCAAGAACTTCCTCAACAACGAGAAGCCGGAAGTGTTACAGGAGGTCGAGACTAACGAGGGACTAGAACGATCTTAAAACAAATGGCACCTTGCGCATCTGAGATTGATCCAGTACCCCGAGATCCAAACACCCCTGCACACAAGTTACTGTCCTCGCCTAGGTGTGCATCCTTCGGATCAAAAAGCGGTCACAGGAAAGAGAAATCTGATCAAGAGCTAATTTCCACGCGGGAAAGTAGAGAAAAGCAGAACAGGGGGTTGAATGAGATTCTTGACTGGAGGGGAGGACTTTCGATCCGTGCATCCTCCAGAAGTGATGGTGGTGGAGGAGGCCTTGCGGTCAAAGGCCTTTCCCCACTAGGGACTCAGCCGCTCCGTGCGGCTGACACGCTCTCAGAGAAAGAGGCTAGGAGTTGCCACGGGGGCAGTGACCTTACACAACAAGTAACAGATGGGGGAGGAAGAGGTCTTCTGCCTGGAGGAGCCCCTCCTCCCAGGCTCAGGACCCTGCGGGGCTGCGCGGGAGATGCCTGCGGAGGGGGGGGGGGGGGCTCCCCCGGCACTTGAACTGAGCCTCAACGGATGCAGCCTAATGTATTCCAGATTTTAAAAAATTAGGCTGGGAAAAGATCGACCAGGATCCAGCGGAACAGAAATCCGGGTGGGTCCAGACTGAGAGGGGGAATCTGGAGAAGGGAGGGAAAGACCCCTCAGAGATCAGGCTTGGCTCCGGCAGAGGGAGGAAGACCCGGCAGCCCCTGGGGGTCCCGGGAGAGAATTTGGCAATCACAGAAGCTGTCCCTGTAGCTCCGAGCTTTGCTTTGCCTGAATGAGAAGAGCCCCCTCAGCTTTGGCTACAGATACATATAATCCCCCTCTCAATCCCCCCTCCCAAGTTTTCTGCAGCCCAGGCCCTGGATCTTGACCCTCACAATGACCATAAGGAGAAAAGAGTCAGAAAAGCGAGAGACGGCGTGAGTACGAGGAAAACAAGCGGTTCTCTGGATGTGTGAGAAAGGGCAGCCAAGAAGTCAGGCAAGACTCCCACTCCAGACGTTATATTTATAGAGTCCCGGGGTTTTTTTTTGTTTTAAGAGGAGAATTACAGACTCCGGCCTGACACAAAGCAGGATAGGAAACATGGCCAGATTTCAAAGGCCTGGATGAGGGGGGGGGGAACGTTCCCCTCCTCCTCCTCAGGCGGCCAGCGGAAGCCTTACTTTCAACAAAGGCCGGCTCCCAACGTCAGTGAGTAAGAATGCCGAGCGGGGAGAGGTAGAAGGAGGGGGGGGTGTCTTCCCACAACACGCAAAACTGCGGGTGTGCACCGGAGAGGGAAAGGGGTGCAGCCGCGCTCCTCCGTGAAAAAGGCCGGGCCAGGAGAGCGGGGGCCTTGCCCCGGAGGCCGGCCTGGCGTGGGGGCCACCCTCCTTCTCCCTGCAGTGCTGCCCGTCCAAATACTGCACCACTGAGCTCAGAGGCCCAAAAGCCGGACTGACTCAGAGAAACCCAAGGCGCTACTTCGGCAAGCCCAGCGCCCCAGCGGGGGAACCAGATGTCTCCGGAATGCCTGGCCTGAGCATCCGGCCCTTTGCAGCTGCAAACTCAGCAGGGCCGGGGGGGGGGGGGGGGGTTTTTTTTTGGGGGGGGTAAGCGGGCTCTTCTCCCCTCGCCCCAGGCCTGCAGGAAGAGGGACTCCCCCGTTAACCCCTCGCTCCTTCACTGGGCTCCTCCAGTTCTCACTGTAGTGCCTCTGGTTGGGGGGGGGGGCTCCCACAAAAACCTTCTCTTCCAGCCCCCTCCCTCTCCTTCCTTCTCCTTCCCCAGACCCTCTTTTTGGGTGGGCCTGCAAGGGGTTCTCACCTCCCCCAAACTTCCTTCTTCCTTCTCCCCCCCAGCTGTTCCGAGTCCATTCCTGGCTGTTTCCTTTGGGCCTGGGGCTGCAGGGAGGGGCTCCCCCCCCTCTTCCCTCCATCCAGAGGAAGCCCCTTCTCCCCCCCTCCCCTTCCCCTCCCATCCAGTCTCCCTCCCCTCCTCCTCCTCCTCCTCCTCCTCCTGGGCTTATCTGCAGAGAAACCAAGGCCACCGAGGGGCTTTAAGCCTCGCATGCATTCCAGGGACAGCCACTCATCCCAAAGTCCAGGCACTGACACCCTTTTTTTGGGGGGGAGGGGGGTAAACAGGGCAGCCATGTCCCTGCCCGCTTGCCCAGCAACCACCATGCCCTCCCCCCCAGCCTGCCATCTCATCCCCACCCCCCCAAAAAAAATCCAATGAGGCCATCCCTGCTTCATCCGGTACCCTTGGACTCTCAGGGTCTTGGCGGGGGAGGGGGGGTCTCTCCCACATCTAGTAGGGCTTAGGGGACACACACACACCCCCGTCGCCAACTTTAGCCCGGTTCCTCGGCTCCTAAACTCCAGCAACAGGAAAGGAGACCAAGCAGCGATCCCCGATCCTTGGGGACTCTCTCTATTACAGCCAGGGATGCCTGATTTGGGGATCACCCCACCCCTCTTTCTCTCTCACATCCCTTGCCCACCCAGGAGAGAAGGGGGAGGTTCCCTTTCCTTCCGCCCTCCCCCTGCAGGAAAGGAGGCCAAGCAGCGATCCTTGATCCCCGTGAAGCCTAGGATGGCCCCGTCTCTTGCCAGGCAGGGAAGGAGAGGCTCTTCAGCCCGCCCACCCATACCCAAGGCAGGAAAGGAGGCCAAGCGGAGACCTCTGACCTTCCAGACCCCGACTGGGGATCACCACCACCGGGGCGGGGGGGGGGGTTGTCTCTCTTCCTCCTCCTCCCCTCCTCCCGCCCCAGAGCAGGGAAAGGAGGCCACTCAGCGATCCCTGGCCTGATAGGAGACCCACCCCAAGAGAGGATGGATGTGAGCATCCCCCCCTCCCCCTGCTCGAGGGAAAGGAGACCGAGCAGCGATCCTTGATCCTGAGGACTTGCTACCTAGTGCACTGCCCCCAGCCCCAAATCTCTCGACAGGCAGGAAAGGGGGGGACTTTTCCCCCACCCCCTCAACCCACGGCAGGAAAGGAGGCCAAGCAGCGATCTCCGGCCTTACAGATCCCAACCGGGGACCACTACCACCGCCCAGGAGGGGGGGGGGGGGCGTCTCTCTTCCTCCTCCCTCCCCAGCGCAGAGAAAGGAGGCCACTCAGCAATCCCTGGCCCGATAGGGGACCTGCCCCCAGAGAAGGATGGGCGCGAGCATCCCCTCCCTCCAACCCCCGAGGGAAAGGAGGCCACGCGGCGACGCTCACCTGCCCTTGTAGTCGTCCCTCTCGCGCTTGACTTTGGCCAGGACGTTGTAGAGGGCGCGGATCTCGGGCGTGATGGTGTCGATCTGGACGCCCACGCCGTCCGGGTGGACCCAGGAGACGCCGGGCCCCTGCAGGGTCTCCAGGCCGCCTCCTCCCGTCCGCCGCACCTGCGTGTAGCTCCAGATGGTGCCGGGCAGGCGGCCGTAAGGCGAAGCGGAGGCAGCCGAGGAGGAGGAGGAGGAGGAGGAAGAAGCGGAGGAAGAAGCAGCCGAGGAGGAGGACGGGGCGAAGGAGGCGGCGGCGGCGGCGGCCCCCCGAGGCGGCTCCGGGTCGGTCTGCACGGCCTGGTGCCTGGGGAAGCGGCGGTAGCGGAGGCGGCGCTCGCGCTCGCCCACCTGCGCGGCCTGCAGCTGCTTCTCCAGCAGCCGGTTGCGGCGCTCCAGCTCGTGCACCTTGGCCAGGAAGCAGCGGAAGCGCACGTTCAGCCCCTTCAGCAGGTGCAGGTGCGAGCCCAGCTCGCTCCGCAGCGCCGAGGCCGCCGCCGGGGGAGGCTCCTCCAAGGCCGCCGGGTCGCCCAGCATCATCGCCGCGGCCGCCTCGCCGAAGAAGCAGAAGGAGAAGAAGCCGCCTCGCAGAGAGAGAGAGAGAGCGCGGCCGCCTCTACCGGCTGCGCGCGCAACCTCCGCAGAGCTCGCGCGCCCGCCGGCGAATGAGGCGCACCCGCGCGGAGCGGCTAGACGCGGCTTCGAAGGGGGCGGGGTTTGGACACGCCCTTCCCCGCCCGCCCGCCCGCCCTCCAGGGCCACGCCCCCGCACGTGCGACGCGGGGCATTGCGCAGGCTCCGGCTGCCGGCAGGACCGGTCCATCTCCATCTGGACACGGGGGAGGGAGAATAAAAGGAGGTCTTTCGGTCGAGTTTATTTCTTTCTCTCGCCCGGAAGCTTTTGTCTTTTTTTTTTTAATTTTTAAAGATTCCCTCATTATTATAAGTGATGCTTGAGGGGTTTGCAAGAAGGACAGATGTCCGGGAAGAGAGTTGGACTTCACCTCCCAGAATCCACTAGCAGGGGGTGGGCTTGACGGTCAGGATTTGTAGTCCTCTTCATTGAGGGCCGAACTACGTTTCCCAGCATGCTTTGTGATGCTTTGGAATGTGCAGGGATCTCCAAACTTGGCAACTTTGAGACTTGTGGACTTCAATTCCCAGAATTCCCCAGCCAGGAAGAGCCCACTGGGGCCATTGTGTCTCCCCCCCCCCCATCTCTGTAGCTTTAAGGTGGACTTCAACTCCCAGAACTCTTTGCTGGCGGGGGCATTCTGGGAGTCGGAGTCCACCCCTCTTAAAGATGCAGAGGTTGAGAAACACCCGTGTAAATGAATACGGCATGGGTTGCCGTGTGTCCAATGGCCTCGACCTGCAACGTGTGTATTTTTAAACCCCGTTCCTATCGCAGCGTTGACAGGTATCAGTTTTGGGAAAAAGAAAGGAGTGCTATCAGTCACTGTTGGCCAGTGAATATACATACATACATATGATATTCAGCTTTGTTCTCATCTGCCATCATCAGGCTTCTGTATTGTGTTGGTCTGGATACAGACAAACACAATACAGAAGCCTGATGATGGCAGATGAGATTCCGCTGAAACGTTGCTACAACTTTAAAAGCACAACTATAATGACATGGGAAAATACCCGAACAAAGCTGAATACCATACATGTAAGTACCCGCGAAAACTTAAAAAAACATACATATACATATACATAGACACATAGACACATACATATACATATAGACATACATATACGTATATATATACACATATATACATATACATATACACATACATATACATATACACATATATACATATACACATACATACATGTACATCTACACATACATACATACATGTACATATACACATACGTATACCTATATACATATACGTATACATATACACATAGATACATATACACATACATACATGTACATATACACATACATACATGTACATATACACATACATACATGTACATATATGTATACATATACACGTAGATACATATACACATACATACATGTACATATACACAAACATACATATATGTATACATATACACATAGATACATCTACACATACATATATGTACATATACACATACCTACATATACATACCTACATATACATACATATATACATACATACATATCCATATCCACATACATACATATAAAAACTTAAACAGACTTTTTTTGCACAGAGAGGAGGAAAAACAAGACGATTTATGCATTTGGGGAGAAAAGGAGGGAAAAGACTAAGATGGCAATTCATTCGTGAGTCCCTTTTTCTTTATCTTCTTTTTTTAATCTTTAATTTTTAAAAAACACTTGCACTGGAAAAATATGCTAATAAAAAAAGTGCATCTCTTGATTCCATCTCTCGATTCTCTTGATCCCTGCGGCGTCTTCAGGGCGAATGGCAGGCCTGGCCCCGTGCGATGGCATCTCCACCCCAGCCCTGGGGCGCCTTTCGCCAATTTCTGTCTGCCCGTCCCGCCATCTTCCCCCTGGTGCCTTTGCTAAGGGAGCACAACCCGTCCCGCCGGTCCCTCCTCTCTTGTTTGTGGCTTTCCCTCCCCGTGGCGCAGAGGCACCCTTGTGAAAGAGAAGAGAGGTATGAAGCCTACACAATGGGGTGTGTGTTTGTGTGCAGGGCCTGGAAAAAAGCGCCGGTTGTGCTGTTGCTCGAAAGCCCGCTTGGCTTGGTACGGCGGTTCACGCTGCTTCGTTTTATGTATAGACGGTATCCGACAGGAGCCCCTGTCGATCCATGCACCTCCATCTGGGCTCCTCCGTGTTCGGACAAACGGGGTACCCAATCCTTGATTTTAGGCCAGGGGTCCCCAACTGGGGGGAGAGAGACAATATTCCAGGAGGTGTGAAAACTTGGGTTTAGAAGTTTCAAAATTATAGTGGTCTAGCTGGATATGCGTGGCTTTGCTATGAAACTATGTGATTGGGCTTAGTTTTTGGGGAGGAAAATAAGGCGGGGGGGGGGGAATTGTGCCTCTGCCTATCAGCATCCATCGGAATTCATCCGGCTAGCGTCCTGTCAGTGTGTGAGAGAGTCGAGAGCTGTTTGGAAACTGAAATGGTATTTGCTGGGTGAGCAAGGAGACAGCAAGGAGCCTGGGCGTGGCTTAGCTCAACTGTTCTGTACTAAAGCTGCTTGGTGCTCTGAAACTGAAACTCCTCTGCTTGTGTTTTTGCATTTGGAAGAGATTTCTTTTCAGGTGGGGAGGGGGAGTAGAACTCCTTAGCATCAGAGTGTGTTAATATAATAATATAAGAAATATTAATGGCTCTGGTGGTCATTTCAAAAAATCCTTTCTTAGTGAGCACCTAGAAGCCAAGAGGAACATATGTGCCAAATTTCAAGTTTGTAGGCTTTACAGTCCTGGAGATTTTGTGATGATGCATGAGGGGCCTTTTGCTTTTATATATATATATAGATAATGCATCTCCTGTTCGCCGCAGTTGGGAGTCCAGGCTCAGGTCGGTTCCCCAAAGCCCAGCTGGGCTTGGTGCAGGCGGCGTCCGCCTTGTGCGTATCCCCGGCGTCCTCCGGGCCCACGAGCCTCGGGGATTCCTGGGCTGGTCCCCGTCTGCTGAAATAATTAACCAGGAAGGGCGTGCCCACCTGGCACCGCGACAGGTGTTATCTAAGCAGGCGTGAGGCCGCACCGGAGCAATTGTGCTTAATTGTTTGTTCCTGCCAAAGGTGCTCTGGCAGACGGCTCTTGACAGTCTTCCCACGCGGTGTGCTTTGCGGCACAGGCTCGACGCTGGGGAAGGGCTGGGAGGCGCAGCAGAAGACCCTCCCACTCCACCCCACTGCCACCCCCTCTGGCAGACCCATTGCTCCGGCGGCACGGGCCTCTTCCTACAATAAGGGCCGTTCTGTTCGCTTCCTGAATTAGCCACCCTGTGAGGATAGTCTTACGCTGAGGTCCCCATCACGCGCCTATAATTCATGGCCAACCCGTGACCACCCCGACAGGACCCCTTTTTCCCAAGATCAAAGACCCAGCAGGCCACAGAATTAGGCTTGGCTTGGCTGCTTCGTGCCAGACATAGGGGAAAAAATAATAACCACGGGGTTTGGTTTTGTTTTGCTGCGTTTTCCATATTTTTAAGTGGGATTCAACTTTCCTATTTAAATTTGTGTGTGTGTGTAGTTGTTAGTCGTGAAGTTGTGTCTGACCCATCGCGACCCCATGGATCACGTTCCTCCAGACCTTCCTATCCTCCACCATCTTCTGGAGTCCATTTAAGCTCACGCTGACGGCTTCCGTGACTCGCTCCAGCCCCCTCCTCTGCCGTCCCCCTCTTCTTCTTCTTCTTCTTCTTCTTCTTCTTCTTCTTCTTCTTCTTC